AATATCGAACTTCGTTGACTAAGGGTCTTCTTTCAATGTTGCAAGCCTTTCGAAAAATAATATCTCAGCATGATAAGAACATACGCTTATCTCCTCCCGGCATTGTCGGATCCTCTGTGAAGTTGAAAGGCTTGAAACAAGCCGACTTTAAAGTGGAGCATTTCCAAATTACACACATCATCTGGGCAAAATTTCAAAAAAAAGTCCCCAACAAAGAATGTGGAGGAAATCTTAGGGACTTAGATCATGATGTGTACGTTTCTTTTGTTTACGTGCTTCATAAGTGTTTTTCTATACCAACTGATGTGTAGAAGTGCACTTGTTTAGACTCTCACCTCCAATATTTTGTCCGCATATGAATATGTAGGGAAAAGTCTCCTGCCCCGTTAATCTGATGAGATCAACAGATAGCTGACGTTGCCAATCTTCATGGCCAACAAATTCTGAAGCAAAAGAAACTTTGTTATACTTGGCATGAACGCAGTTAATTTACCTAAAAAATATGCTGGGACATCGGCATAGCTTACTGCTAATAAATGTTTTGCTCTTTGGCATGGGACACACTGCACAAGCGTATACATCATGATTGGGTAACGTCTAGCTTGGCGTTCGATGTATCCTGTAAACGGTATTGCAGTTCCATATTTAATCCAGACAATGAAAAATAGTACTGAAAGCCTTCATCGCCGATGACGCTCCAACTAACAAGAGGACTAATAATTATAGGAGAAGTGACTTTTACCTGCATAAGAATAACCAACTGAGACCGGTTGCCTTCGATACTTAAGTACTTCTTGCTGAAATTTGTACATTGATTTCGGCGAAATGTGTTGAAACCCAAGCAAATGTCAGAAGTTTGGTTGAGAGTAAATGAGTTAATAAACGTCTAACTCACATTTCGTCTGGCGTCAAAATTTGTTTGCAATTTTTGTCCAATGAGTAAACTGTGCTGATCTTGGAGGAAGTTCGAGGATTGTTTCTGCTTCTCGTGAAGCAAACCACTATCTCCACGTTTGACATTCGCATTTCTTCTCTCGAAGTGCTATCGTAATTGATCGCGCATTATATAGCTTGAGGCGTTTTCATGTGTGGTATAGGTTGACATTATCGACAGAGCTTATAGGTAGCCTTTTTTTCGGCGTTAAGCTGTTTCCTACTTTTATGCCAAAGTTTTCCTTTGTTATATATGCCTCGCTAACCTCTTCATCCTTATTGTTTGTAGTTAGCTGCTTCCTGTCAGGTACATCGTGATTATTAGGATCGTTTCGAAAGTTTTCTGCAATGAACTTGACTTGGTAGTATCAATCAAAGTGAGAAGGAGATCATAGATTTACTTTAGATTTTATTTTAGTTATTCGACATTGCTCAGCAGAGCGTGTCTACTGATAATTGCTGTGCTTAAAGGAGTTGTACTGTCTATAGAAGTCTCAATGTTATAAATTATCTGCTAGGGATTGACATACATCAAAAGTGGACATTGGAAAATGAAGAGCAAGTCATGACTTTTCTACTTAGATAGACGACAGTCTCACTAGCGCACATTCCTCTCTGTCTTTATATGCCTATAAAGCATATTTCTGTAAACCATCAATTAAATACGATGGATTCTGTCCACAGCAGTTTATATAAACAGATCCAAGCATTTATTATGCATGACTTATGTCTTTTTACGACTCTCTGCTCTGTTTTTCTATAAACTCTTCCTTTGTAAAAAGCCAATTGTCGACCTGCCATTAAATTTTTCGTACCGTTACTGTGAATCCTCGACGCTAATGAAGTGTACGAATTTGATATGTATGCAGAGTAAGCCTACCTGCGAAGTTGTGTCATCTATTCCTACTCCATGACACAAAGATTATAAGCTTGCTGCGAAGTCTCCCGCCATTTTTTACAGTATCTTAGCAAATTTTTTGGAGTTCTGGAATTTTCTTGTCAAAACCTATAAAGGGTGTCCTGTAGTCTAGTTATTTCAAATTTGTCCTAATATTCCGTCGTCATTATAGGATGTCTTTAACGT